ACACACACACACACACACACACACACACACACCAAAATATGGTAAAAATGTGTGGCTGGTAGATGGGAGAGAATCAGGGCTGGGGAGAGACTTAAAGGCTCTGAAAATCTAATACACACATTTTCTGAGTTACACTCCTTGCTGTTATTGCTTCCACTTTCCAGCCAGCCAGTGAACTCAGACATGGAAAGGATGTGGTTTTTTTTTTTTTTTTTTTTTTGTTGTTGTTATGAAATGCATCTTCACTTATACAGTATAAGTAAAAAGCAATAAACAAAAAAAAGAAGTGTAGTGATCTAAAATGCTGTGGAGGTGGGGTCTGTACCCTTTCTTCTCTCCGAAATTATCCTGAAGCAACACAGAGCAAAATCACTAACTTCATCTTTGATTAAAATTAGAGGTATCAAAAACCCACCCAGAAAATGTGTGGGAAGTCCTCCCTTGTATGGCTGAGAGGAGGTGGGGAGAAGACGCCCCTGAAAACCTTTTTTTCAGAGAGAAGCCACATTCCTTAATTCCGTCTAAGCATTTCTCTGTGAAACAAGGAAGCTTGGATCACTGATTAGAATGAGTATTAAAAATCTTTAAGCAGTCTTTCTTTCTCTGTCTCTTTGCCTCTTTGTCTCTGTTTCTGTCTTTCTGTGTCTCTCAACCTCATTCTCTCGGTCTCTGTCTGTCACTCTCGGCATAATATCTGGCTCTGGGTCTCTATATTTACCCTCATCTGTTGCAGAAGAAAGCTTCTCTGATGATGGCTGAGCAAAGCTGTGAGTATAGCAGAATGTCACTAGGAGTCGTTTTATCTCTACATATGTTGTTTTAACACCTATAATATTTGGGTTTACCCGAGACTCATGGGATGGCTAGTCTTTGGTTCTTGGTCACCAAAGCAGTATCAGGTATGGGTTCCATCTCGTAGACTGGGCCTTCATTAAAGTCACTAAGAGGTGAAGAAAGAACCCCAGAACAAGTAGGAAACTCGTAGCACTTCGTGGAAATCCTTCATGTGCAGGATTTGCTAGCAAAGTATGGGTGAGTAGATAGCAGACAAGTCTAACTTGGGAAAATGCTTGTTTAACATATTTGAAGTTCTGGGTTCCATCCTTAACAGTGCATAAACCCTGTGTGGCCAGGTTTGCCTATATCCTAGTTTTTAGGAGGTAGAAGCAGAAGAGTAAGAAGTTCAAGGTCTTCCTTTGCCATATGGAGTTCAAGGTTAACCTAGGACACATGAGACCTTCTCTCACACTAATGTAAAGCACACGCTTGCGTGCACACACACACACACGCGCACACACACACATACACACAAACTTACTCTCTTTGTCTCTCTATGTAGCTCTGCCTCTACCTCCCTCTCCCTCTCTCTGGCACAGTTCTCTTCCCAATCTACACCGACAATGAAGTAATCAATGTGTGTAAATACGCTGTTCCAAACCAACTAACCAATCAATATTATTCTAAGAGAATAGCTGAACATAATGCAAAAGCATTAACAACGCTATGCCTAGAAGTGTGATGCAGTCAACGGTAGAACACTCACTAGTATGAATAAGGCCCTAGGCTTGAAACTGTGAAAACCAACGCACTGTGAACAATAATAAATATACTACAATGGGAGCAAATATTAGGAAGATTTTCAATATTATAGTGCATATCTCTGAAGGATATAAATATGTGAGATAATTATGGGAGCTAAAAGATCAAGCAAACAATATCACTTTGAAGAAAATGTTTGAATACCATGACTTTGCTCTTAAGTGATTGAATGCCTGAAGGTAAAATCAGCTGGATACAACGCAAAAGCATTAACAGTGCTATGCCTGGAACTGTGATGTATAATGGTAGAATACTCACTAGTATGAATAAGGCCCTAGGTTTGACACTATGAAAAGCAAACATTAGGATCCCAGCAGAGATCTAGAACAGGACCAGGATGCCTACCTTTCAAATACTGTCTGTCACTGTTCTGGTAATAGAAAAAAAAATAAAAGGTATATCATTGTAAGGGGTATAGTAATATCTATTTGTTATTCAGAAGATAACATATTCAGAAAGCTGGAGTAAGCAATTAAAACCTACCCATCTATTGTCTCCTCTCCAAATACAAAATTAGAAAGGATACCCTTCGAGATTTGAAGAAACCACAGATTGATCCTTTGACCTTAGGTGAAAACTCTTAGAGAAGTGAGCAGGAAGTGGAAACTGCTCAGATCTCCAGCAAAAAGAGAAGTGGCAGGAAGGGAGGGTGAATGAAAAGCTGAAGTATTTTAATTTGCCCTGGCCCCTAGGTAGCCCTATTTATTTCACATGTTGGCTCTTGGGAAGATAACATGCGGCAGGAAATGGCAGTGTGACACGAGAAGTGGCCTCTGCCAGAGCAGCGAGTGGGATTTTTGCCCTATGTACCAGCAAGAGAACAAGATTAAATCCACTTTTCTGTGGGATGGACACCCATTTTGTTTATTCTGGAGCTTCTAGGCTATTTACAGTATTATCCATGATACATGCGGCATGGGGAGTCCCTGGTTTTGTTTGATTGATTGTTTGTTTGTTTGTTTGTTTGTTTGTTTGTTTTTACCACATATTCTATGTTGAAAAGTAGAGATAACAATAAACGCTGTGAGGGTTCACATAGTTCATCTTTGGTCACATGGCTAGGATGTCTCTTGTGTTTGAGAAGCTGTAGCTATAGAGCTGGTAAGGGAAGGTTATAAGGGAGATCCAGAGGCTATGCTCAGGATCAGCAAGCTTTAGTTACATGGATGGTCTGATCTTATCATTGTTTCCCATTCAAGCAATAGTCAATGGTGATAGGGCAATCCTTAAGTAAGCCTTCTAGAAACTCTTATACCCTGAGCTGTTCACTCAGCAACAGTGTTTCATTTGCATGACTTTACAATCAGTCAAATCAGTCAGCTAGAAACAAGTCACCCATAATTCCACAGCTCAAAGTGGAATGTTTTTGTTTAAGAAATTCAGATATCTACTTTGATAGTCTGCAGGGCAGAGCCTTTCAGAGGCCCTCTGTGGCAGGTTCCTAGGTTGTTTCCTCTTTTCTTCTTTTTCTGATGTCCATCCTCTTTGCCTTTCGGGATGGGGATTGAACATTTTAGTCAGGGGCCTCTCTCTTGATTAGTTTCTTTATATGTACAGATTTTAGTAGTTTTATCCTATGTTATATGTATATATGAGTGAGTATATACCATGTGTGTCTTTCTGCTTCTGGGACAGCTCACTCAGGATGATCCTTTCCAGGTCCCACCATTTACCTGCAAATTTCATGATTTCCTTATTTTTCATTGCAGAGTAATACTCCATTGTGTAGATAAACCACAATTTCTGCATCCATTCTTCAGTTGAGGGGCATCTGGGCTGTTTCCAGCTTCTGGCTATTACAAATAAAGCTGCTACAAACATGGTTGAGCAAATGTCCTTACTGTGTACTTGAGCCTCTTTTGGATATATGCCTAGGAGTGGTATGGCTGCATCTTGAGGAAGTGCTATTCCTAGTTGTCTGAGAAAGCGCCAGACTGATTTCCAGAGTAGTTGTACAAGTTTACATTCCCACCAGCAGTGGAGGAGGGTTCCCCTTTCTCCACAACCTCTCCAGCATGTGCCAACTGTTGGGCAGAGTGCACGGAATCTTATGTAAGAAGTGGGAAATAGTAAGATCTGGAGAGGACAAGAACCCCACAAGGAGAGCAACAGAACCAGAAAATTTGAACACAGGGGTCTTCCCAGAGACTCATACTCCAACCAAGTACCAGGCATGGAGATAACCTAGAACCCTTGCACAGATGTAGCCCATAGCAGTTTAGTGTCCAAGAGGGTTACATAGTAATGGGAAGAGGGACTGCCTCTGACATAATCTAATTGGCCTGCTCTTTGATCACCTCCCCCTAATGGGGGAGCAGCCTTACCAGGCCACAGAAGATGACACTGCAGTCACTCCTGATGTGATCTGATAGACTAAGATTAAAAGGAAGGAGAGGAAGACCTCCCCTATCAGTGGACTTGGGGAGGGGCATGGGTGAAGAAGGGGGAGGGAGGGTGGGACTGGGAGGGGAGGAGGAAGGGGCTTATGGGAGGATACAAAGTGAATAAAGTGTAATTAATAAAATAAAATTAAAAAAATAAAACCTGCCATGACGCGGAAAAAAAAAAGGAACTCAGGTGAATTGTTGTCATATTGAATGTAAATCATCAGAAGTCTATAGAGTGAATCACACATGTGTAATTTTATTAAGGTTTTTATTTTTTATTGATCATTGCATTTTTTTTTAAATGGCAGATAATTCAGTTTGCAGGGAAATGACAACACTGTGAAACTGAGATGTGTTTAAATTGAGAAATGTTGAAACCTGTGGAAAATAAACACAAAATTAAACAAAAGCTTCAAACAATTTCTGGCTTCTGTAAGACACGAGTGTGGTGTACTGGCTACAAGAGAGAAGGTGAGACTTACAGTGACTTCTCTTTGCATCTGTCTCTCAAAGCTTCCTCACTCAATAGCTCTCATTCCAAGAACACTGTGAGTACATCCTGTGTTCCACTGCTGGGTGTCTTGGAAAAAGCATGAAGCTCGTATAGACTGGGACTAAGAGCCATCTCCACCAATTCTGCTTGTTCCATGCTGCTTCTGATTCTCTTAGAAAATTTCAAGCCCCCAAGGACAGTTTGTGACATGGGCCAGGGGTGAACTCCCAGAGGTTGGATTAATGCACCGAGTGCACCAAGATCCTTTACAGAATTCGGCTTTTATGGCACGTGACACCAGGGTCACATATAATCCTAGAGTATCTTTATTTGTTCTATAACTTAATAGTATACCTATAAAATAATTACATTATACTTATAGCTTTTCTTCATTTATAAACAAGACAAAATTTAAATACAATTTGAGCCATTTGAAGGTAAACTTTATACATACAATAATCCAAGAAGTAGCCCCAGACCACAGCACATCATATTTCTTTCATGGGTATACCCACAATTGGGATCAGAAAAGAGTGCTCACATATATGTTTTGTGGGTTCCTAGCTTAACTCCTCCTCTACTTGTGTGGGTACTATTGACAAGGCTTGTTTGTGCAGCTGGGTGTGAGACTCTTCTCCTCTCCACTCTGGTTATTACGTCATCATCTTCCATCAAGGACACCCATCTCCTCTCCTTCACAGCTTTTCTGCTGTAGGTTCTGCTCTGGCTCTAGCTTGGGATTTCCTGCTAAAACTGAAAATTGCAGCTCTGACCTCGGCCACCACCCTCTTCACTTTTTACCTCCATCCTTGGGGAGTCTAGCCCTCTAGAGTTCTCCACTTCTTTTTGTGTCTTTCTCCTGATTCCAGGCTGCTCACTCCCATTTCTGAAGCTAATATCCTCTCCAAAGCCACACAGTCTATGCTCAGGGCTTATTGTGTGGCAGAAATAACTGAACTAGAAACCTTGCATTGCAACTCAGGCAAAAGAGTCAGTGGCACACCCACCCCAGCTCATCCCAAGCCTCCTCCTCCAGGTGGCAGGTTGGAAAGCTAGCATGATTGCCAAGCGTCCAGAAGCCTGAGTCTCTAAGCAGCTTCTGTGTGGTCTCCCTCACATACTAGAAAACCCACTTTGGGGCAAGAGCACACACTCAGAAATTACCATCCAAAGGATTTTAGCACATTCTGATTTCCACCAATGGCTTCTTATTCACATTTGTCAGACTCAGTACATGTCATTCACAGGGAGGCCTCTACAGGACAATTTCACAAAGAGATTGAACTTGAACATACTTTTTGGAGGAAAATAAATTATTTTAATAATTTATTTTCACGTCAAAAGACCGTATGACAGAGACTTCAACAACTCATCAGGAAAGTCAACAGGTGATTGAAATGTTTCTTGGCATTTTTTGGGATCTATTCTTTGTGAAGGAAGCTATCCTCTGAGTGACAGTTCAACTACATTACTACCCTCTGTATTTGGGTAGTATTTCTGCCTGTGCCACAAAATGTCTCAATACCACATATCTCGCAATAGAAAAAAAAATTTTGGCTTACTGTGATGGCTGTGAAAACAGTACCAGGTCCCACGTCACATGTGCCTGTCAAGCTATGCAGCTTCTCAGTGACTCCTCTGTAGACCACCTGTCCCAGTCTGATTTCTACACTATGCCGCCATGCTTTAGTGTCTTCTGTGATGTCATATTACAAGTAAAATCATGATGTGTCCCTCTTCCATGCTTAGTGTGGGGGGGGGGGGGAAATATAGGGTGTATGGCAGTGAATTACTGACCTGGCAATATTTCCTCGTATAATACCTTTTACACAGACCACTCCTTGGCTCTACCCTATTCAGAATGGTGCTGCATAGCCGGAGTCCAAACACGTGACTTGCTATATGAATAGGTTGATAATACTTTTAACCGTTTTTTACATGATAGGTCAATTATAAAACTGACGTTAATAAAGAGACCTTGTGTGTGGGTAACAGGCTAATGGCAGTGGGAATAGTATGCGCACCAGAGTTCATCTTGAGTCCACCGATGGGGGCTATGAGGAGCAAGAAAGAAGAGTCGGTGGTGTCTAGAGGTGTGGAGGATCTGGCCTGCTCATCAAAGTCCCCAGGAAAAGTCCGTTTCCTGATCCCCTTAGCTCGCGTTGTCCTGGTGGGATCAGGTTCGTTCGGAGACCCCTCGCGGGTGAGCATCTCCTTTACGGATACTGCCCGCATCGGCATAACAGCAGCGGCAGAGCAGGGCAGCTCCCCGATCAGAAGAATGAATGCCCACACCACAGCGGTCTGGTGGCCAACAGAAGTTTGCGACAGAAGAGTAATGCATCCTTCACCAGGGAAGGGTCGAGCTGGAGTGTAGGACGTGGCCAGGGAAAGGCTGGCTTTCCACGTGCTGGAAATGTCAATCCCGGATCGACAGTGCATTGCCTGAAAAGTCCTGTTTAGTTGCTGGGAGTGGAGTTTTCCTGCATCTTCTGTGTCTGAACCACAGCCTGCATTTGGAGACACAAGTGTGGCCTGGGATGGATCTCAGACACGTCGACAAAGCTCCACCTGCGGTCCACATTTGTGACGAGGACACTGTTGGCCCTAAGAGACGCATTTGGTGCTGACAGGGACACCGGGCAGAGTGTGAGTGAGCTCGACAGAAGTGACGGTGGTGCGACCCGGGGGCGAGGGTGCTCGAGGCTGAGCAGCATCCTGCCCGGATGAGTTCACTGCTTGTCGGAGTCATTCAGGTTCACGGACATGCACCGGCAATGCTTCACCTTCTGGATTTTCTTGATTCGGAAAGGGGGGTCGAGACCAGGACATTCGAGCTCCACAATGACGGAGGTGACGCGCTGGGGCTTGCAGAAGGCGCAGGACTGGAAGGAGTCCTCCTCCTTCTTCACGTGCCGCGGGATGTAGAAGGAGTTGCACTGGCCGTAGCAGAAGCGGTTGAGGATGGTGCGGCTGCGACATCCCTCCTCGCTCACCGTCTGCCGCAGCGGCTGTGTCTTGCACCAGTCACTCTTGAGGTACTTGCGCTCGGTGACCACGAGCGCCTCCTGGCTGGAGGCCAGCACCTCTTTGATCTGGTGATGCCATCTCTCTGAGTTGTTGCTGCTGCCATCCTTGTAAGGTGAGGGGATGGCGCCTGCAGGCCGGTTCTTCCGGGCTTCGGCTACCTTTACTAGCACAGCCACCAGGAGCAAGGTCAGCGACAGCTTCCACAACATCCTGCAATGAGAAAAGAGTTGGTCCGGGTTACCATGTGAACATCCAGCGTTTCCTCTTAGTGTTTATGGCGGAATACCCAAACATTAAACAGTACAACAGAGGCAGGCGTGACTGCACTACAGAGTATCCTATAGCAAGTACATTGTTACCATTATTGGAAGGCCAGTGCTGTGGTCTGAACCAGAAGTGGCCCCTATTGCTCATGCTGTTTGAACACTTAGGTCCCATCCGGTGAGGCCTCAGTGATGGAAATGAGTCATTGAGGAGGAGAGCTGGTGCCATTGCTGTCTCCTCTTTCCTTCCCTGAGGCTGGAGAGCCCACCTGGGGTGCTGCCATAGCGCCTGCCCTGAAGAGGCAGGCTGTGAGTCAAAATAAGTCCTCCTTCCCTTAAGAGATAGCTTATTGGGGCATTTTGTCACAACAAGAAAAGGATCATTTGGTATAGCCCTAAGTTCAACGATTTCAGAAAATAAATAAATAAATGAAGACACTCGTGTTGCTGAAGCTCAAAGCCAAGGTACAGTAGTAGCAATAAGAGCACCCAGCTCTGTAACCTAGGCTTCCATGAACGTGGCTAGCTCTTTCTTTAAAAGTCATGTGAAAATGCCTGTTGTAAAAATCATAGTGTGTGTCACTGTTACTAGTCCAGGCTTTGTACATCATTCTAAAGATGATTTCTTCTGTCATCAGGTATGACTGGAGAACGGACCCCAGAGTTACTATCATCAGAGGTTTTGTTAACAGCAGTATATTCCTGTTACAGTGGTGCTGTCAGACAGCCTCCAGATTCCATGGGAGTCCTTCAGAGTTTGCCTGAGGGGGACAGCGTATGAGGTAGAACCTGGTAGGAAGCCTTTGTGGGTGTGCCCTTGAAAGAGACCAAGGGGTGAACATCCCTTCTTCTCTCTTTTATTTCTGGGCTGCAATGAAACGAGCAGCTTTCTCTGCCTCTCACCCTCACTTCATCTGACCCTTCTCCATGGACCCACATATGGACTGAAATGTTCAAAACTGTGAGCAAAAACAAACCTCTCATCTTTTTCGGTTGTCTTAAGTGTTTTGTTTCAGTAAAGGACAACTGACTAGCAGTGAAACCAGTGGTCACAGGGGATGGGAAGGTGTGAGGGAAATGTGCCAATTGTGCTTGGAGAAGAAACAGGGAATAATCCAGGTAATCTTAAATCTAGGGTAGATGAGTCCCTTAAAATCTGAAAAGGATGGGCCGAGGAGATGGCTCAGAGGGTGAGGTGCTTCCTGTGAAGGCACGAAGGCCTGTGTTTGGATCTCCAGCAACCATGTAAAGAAAAGCCTGGCATGGAGGCACATACCTCTGATTGCAGGCTGGAAGGCAGGGAGAAGAGGATCCAGGGATAACTGGCTGGCCAGTGTAGCCAATCAGTGAGATCCATTCTCAAAAATAAGGTAGGGAAGAAAAAAAAATAATAAATAATAATAATAATTTGTCCTGGTGATAATGCTATCATAAACACAGGCTAATATTAGAGAACTTGGACAACATTGGCCAATGGAAGAAACATTAGAGAACTGAGAAGGGATTTGCTTTCTCCTGTTACTATAAAAACATTTGTCCACCACAATTATTAATTTTTAAGTCCAAGTTTCTTTTAAGGGCTTTTCTCACGCTTCCTTGGTTCCACATATGAAGTGTCATGTGAAAATGGCCACACTTCCAGCAGACCCATGGCAAGAGTTGATACTTGGACTCCTTCAGCTTATTGGATCTGTGCAGTGATTTGTGATCTCAACAGCCTCTTAAAAGGAGAGTCTTTTGGTTCTATTTTAATAATTTCCAAGATTATTAACATTCTAAGTAAACAAAACCAAAAGTCTTCGAGTCTCAGCCAGGAGAGATTTATGGTCAGCTTAGGCCTCAGCGCCTAGCCCCAACAACAGTTTATCACGAACTCTTGGTCAGCTCAAATGGCATGTTTCCCCTTCAGCAGCTTCTCTCTGTTGTCAGGGAGAAGGGAGCTAAAACATGCTCAGATTGATCTGGAGCAGAAGTGCTTCGTGTGAACAGTATTCGATGTGGTGATTAGTAACAGGAGTTCTTTGAGCACTTTTAAATGGCATGCAAACGTCTGGCATCGGTCCATGAAAGTGCTGTCTCCCAGGAACCGAGGAAGTGAAGCAAACTTCCAGCTTTTAGGAAAGGGAAAGATACTGATGAAATCTATACTACTGGGGCCAAGTCTGGATAGCCTCCCCATCCCAGCTCTCTCATACACACTCATACACTCATCTCATTTCTCCTTCATGTGTGGCAATAAGAAGCTGGCCAAGAACCTGGCATCTCAGCACCAGGACAGATAAACCAGTTGTTTACCTGTCTTACTACAATGACTATTGGGGAGGTATCCTTCTTACTTTAGGGGCAGTTGAGCCAGCTGCTGCCACTGACACCTACTCTGCTGGCCCTTCCTCCTGTAAGGGTCAACGGAGGAGAGAAGGCACACATCTCTCTTTAGTTTATCATCCATCACACATACACACACACGTCAGGAGTCTGACCAGGTCCTGAGGTTAGCATTTCAATGCTGTCCTGAATGTCTTTGCTATTCAGAGAAGTGGCTGGCGTATAACTACCTCTCAGGAATGCTGCTACGACTGCCAGGAATGACAGCACGAGGATACTTCATTTTACTCTCACATCTTGTGTTTGGCTTGTATCAGAAGAAACTCATAAATAACTCCTGTTGGTTTTATTAACCATCCTCCTGGCCTGACAATGTTGTCAATTTGCAAAGTGTGCCAGGACTATAAATGCTGATGGCCTAAGCAGACTAGGTTGGCCAAAGTTGATGGTATAAAGAGAGAGCTGGTAGTGGAAGTATTTCCCCCAAGTGAACGCCCTTGGACCCAACCTTTGAGCCAGAGCAGCCTACCACCTGGGCAGCCAAATAAGAAGTCCCTTCTATCAGCTCTTCATTGAAGGGTCAAGACGGAAGACAGGCTCTATGATGGGAAGCTTCTAATTTCTAGAAAATGTGCAGTAGTGCTGAGTCATTACACTTATACACACAAGCAAAGGACAAGGATGAAGTGAAGCTCAGGACCTGACTCTCAGGGTGACCTTCTTGGGCTGTAGACAGCAGTGTAAGGCTGCCCTGCTCTGTGTAAGAGCAGAGGATAGAATGGCCACAGAACATTTTCTGTACCCTAAGAATTCCAGAACACCAGGGAAGGATGATGGAAATCATTTGAGAGAAACTTCTCTGTTCCACAAGGCAGGCTCTAACCAAGCAAAACAATGCAAACCCAAACTCAAACCCACAGCCATGTTAATCAGCAGGGATTGTTGCTTATGGGTATTCTACAGCCACAGCCTCAACAAACAAAGGTACTTCATCTGTCATTTTGAGTCCTAAACCGAGAAGGTATTGTTTAGCTCCTTGTCTAACTCCCTAGAGACATGTGTGGATTTCCTTGGCTTCCCAGATCATCTTTAGCTTGGGGTAGCTTGTTGCTGAAACCACTTATGCCCCCCCCACAACTGTAAACTGGGGCAAACGGGCCCACAGAGCCAAACCAAACCTGAGGTTCTGTTTTGTATATAAGCTTGGGCTGAAACATGGCCACACCCCCTCATTTACCTTTTGACTGGCTGCTTTTGTGCTGTAAGGACAGAATGAGTAGAGCAGGCAGTGACCATGGTGCCCACAAAGTCAAAAAATATTTACATTTAGATGTGGCCTCTCACAGAGCTTAGGAAGTCCCCCAGCAAAGCGCAGCCATGCAACTTAGTTGTTTCCTGTTTTCAAAATTTCTAACTATTCAAAGTTTCAAACAGAGGGGGATAGAAAATACAACAAATCCTACGTGAGTTGTAAACAGCATTGACATTTCTCTTCTGTGTTTTACAGTCTCAATATTGAAAAACATAATGTGAATGTAGAGAGAGGGAACATTACAGGGCCCTCTCTTGGCTCCCTCTGAATGTCCTCACTCAGGCTACCAGCATTCTACGCTTGGTCTGCATCATACAGTTCACTGCTTACGTTTCATTCATGAGTTTTGCTTGAGTGTGTGCGATAGTTCTTTACATAAATAACATCACCCTCTACTTTCCATTTCAGAAATTCGTGCTTGAGGTTTTTACACCCGTGAGCACTCACAGACATCTGATCATCCCTCTGGTGACTATTAAAATGAATCAAGTCCATTCATCTTACTGAGAGACTACAGGGACACTTCTGCTTCTCCTCTGTAGCCGATAGTGCTACATCAAACAGCTTTAGTGTCTATGTATTTATGCCTGCCAGTTGCAGTTTTGTTCTGCTGTTGTTGTTTTGTTTTGTTTTGTTTACAGGAGACACAGAAAAGGTTGGGTCACAGTCTGCGCTTAGCTTGAGTTGGACTATGTTTCAGGGGTTGTTTTCCAAGTGCTGAGGACAGCATTCTTTCGGCAGGGTAAGTAGTGGGTCCCTGCTGCTGCACATACTTGCCAACACTTGGTGTTACCACACATTGCTTTTGCCCATCTAAGAAAAAATGTGAAAGTACATCTTATGATGAATTTTCATGTCTCTGATTAGAAGGTCACACCAAGTTCAAACACAGTTGTCCTCTGACTACAAAGGAGAGATTGCAGTTCATCTGAAGGCAGAGACGTTGAAATATTGAGAGAGGCAAACTCAGAAGTCCTAAATATAAATCTCTGAACTGTCAGGAAAAGGCTCGGAAGTGGCTAGCAATTTCAAAGCAGAAATATCAAGGCTTCCCCACATGATTCAGGAGTCTGAAGTCCAAATGGATTAATTTACTTTTTCAACTGACACTTTCTGGGCCAAAGTGACCATCATTTCATCCCAGGAAAAAATTCCATTTCATCTGAAAAAAAAATATGTATAGCATGCTTTTCAAGAAGTTTTTAACAAAAGGGAAAAAAATGATGTATGGTTATGTACTTTGATTTATGGATTTCAAAGGTATCAGTGTTCTTAATCTCTGAGCAAAGTGCTTGGATATATTCAGGATA